AGGCCGCCGGCGGGGCCCGCCCCCTCTGCACATACCCCACCTCCTGCCGCAGCAGGGGAAAGGGGACGCACCGCCCAGGGGGCCGGGCTCCCGGGTTGCCGCCGCCAGAACCCGGAGGGCGGGGCGCGGGCCGGGGGCTCTGGGCCTGTAGGAGCGAGCCAGACAAGAGCTCTGAGAATCACTTTATTGCACGCGTTTTGGGGAGTGGGGTGTCCCAGAGGGGAGCACACCGCAGGCCCCATCCAAGGTGTGCTCTCCAAGGTGAGCCGCTCAGGGTCTGGGGCCGGGGGGCACGATCCCGGGGCCTTGAGGAGGCCCGGGTGGTGGCTGCAGCTGCTGCCCCTGCAGTTGCTCCTCCTGGGGCCTGGCTCTGTTGGCCCTGCAGGGGAGAGTACCTGGTGGTCGGGTTGGGATACTGGAGGGTGGTGCCAGGACAGTGAGGAGAGGGCAGGAAAGAGCTGGGACAGACCTGGCCCGGGCCCGAGTGTCATTGTAGATGGCTGTGATGATCCGATCCTTTTCATCCATGAAGCTACGATGCATCTGCTCCAGCTTCCTGCAAGGGGGTTACAACTGACTCTGGGAATCCCCAATCCCCGCTGTCCCCCAAGTCCCACCCCCCTCCACCCCACTTGAGGGTCTCACAGCTTTACACTTGTGGGGACCTCAGCTAACTGCCTGTGCTAGGTGAGGAAAGGGGCACAGAGTAGCTGGGACTTGTCCAGGGCCTAATGGTGACCCAGGTCCCTGACTGTCCTGAAGGTGGTGACAGCAGCTCTGTCATGGAGGTTCTTAAAGGCGACTAGAAAGGTTTGTTCATCTAACTCCATCACTGAACTAGGCACACTGCTAGCAGTGTGCACCAGCCTTTAGGTGTCTTTGCTATCAAACCTCAGTGGCAATGGCACGCATGAGAGAGTGGCAGGAAAACAGCAACTGCCAAACAAATGAAGACAGTTTCTGGTGAGGCCCAGTTCAATGCGTTTCCTTTTTGTGCAGGATTTTGGTTGGCTCCAGCACTCTCTGGCAACCAACACCAAAGATTTAAATTCAAATTATAAAAAACTGAAAATGACATTAGCCCTTAGTGCAGAGCTGCCTTTGCTAAATAAGACGAGGCTCTGGAGGAGACCTATTTCATGCAGTTCTTAGCTTGAGAGACACAAGGGTGCAGGCCACAGGGGTGGTATGGATGGATAGATGGCTGACACTGGGCTTCACCCACCCTCCTGCCCTCTGTCCATTACCCTAGGGGGACGCGCACCTGAAGGCAACATAGTGCAGGCCCATGCCTGCCAGCATGATCAGGAGGCAGTACCCCAGCACCCGCCGGTTGTGCTTGTGCTGCTGCTGCCTTGACTCTGGTGCCTGAGGCCTCACTTCATGAAACTGGGCCCAGTATTTTGCATTGGGGGGTGCCCAGGAGCTGCTGGGAGGTAGAAGGGACAGTGTAAAGACAGGGCTCCCCAGGAGACTTGGGGGTGGCAAGCTGGGGGCAGGACTACTGTACCTGTGTGCCTGATGAGCAGACCTGGGATGGGCTGTGGTTCCTGGACACTTTGGGGAAGCTGCCGAGCGGAGCTGGTGGTCATAGCTGCGGCGGCTCTGCTCACGGCTCAGCACTTGGTACGCTTCACTCAGCTCCACAAAGCGGCTGTGCAGGGCAGGGTTCTTGGGGTCCCGGTCAGGGTGCAGCTGGGGTGGGGCAGGACTCCCCTCATCTCCCTTCCCATGACCTATCCTAATAATATCCACCCACAAGGGCTCATATCATACCCAGAGGCCCTCCCTGGGCAGTGACCCTCACTCTCAGGCCTGCACATCCACCTAGAAGACCAGAGAGTCAGGAAGCATAAACTCCTGCCCCTTCCCGTTGTTCAAGACCTCCCCACCTGCTGCCTGGCTCTCATTGGATGCCCTGGTCCCAGCTTTCTCAAGAGCAGGCAGGTCAAGAGAACCAAGCCCAGCCCATCAGACAGGACTCCCGGCTCCTGCCCCACAGCCTTTCCTTCCACCCGGCCAGGTCTCTCCCCTTGCAGCTCCCCCTCCCTATGAATGCTGAGGGAATGTGCACCAGCCAGAGTGAGCCTCTCAGCTCCATTCCTGAGAATTTGGAGCCTAACCCTTCTGGCTCAGACTTCCCTTCCCCCACTCCACTTAAGGCCACTGGTACCTCTTTGCACTTGGAGAGGAAAGCTCGTTTAACTTCTTCAGCGCTGGCGCCAGGATGCACCCCCAACAGTTCATAGTAGTTACTGGGGCCAGACCTGTGGACAGAGGCCCAAACCTGCAGGGGCTAAGGAAAACACAGAGGATACCCCTTCCCTGCCCGTCCCAGCCCCGCTGGACCACACCCTTCAACTCAGCATCCAGATGCTTAAGGGGCTGAGGCAGGTGCCAAGGGAGATCTCTAAATCACCCCTCCCTTTTTGAGTGTTCCAGGTAAGGGGCAGATCAGATTGTCTCAAAGTGTAGTTTTCAGACCGCTTGCATCAGAAACGCCTGAAAAGCACGTTTTAAAAAACAGATTCTTGAGGCCCACCTCATCCCTGCAAATCAGAATCTCCAGAGCAGTGCCCAGGAATCTGCAGTTTTGTAAGCTCCCCACACCCCGCCTGGGTTGTGCACAGCGATGCTTGACAACCACCTGAGTTGTGGACAGTGCATTGGGTTTGGTTGGGCTCAAATTCCAGATGTGCCACTTAACTCTCTGTATGACCTTGGGGGGTCATCCTTTAATCTCTGACACTGTGCCCTCAGCAGTGAAGGTGAGGATAAGCTGACAAGCCTGTAAGGCGCCTGACGCAGAGTAAGAGATCACGACTATCCCAGCACCTAGACTATCCCGGCACCTAGCGCAGGGCCTAGAATTGGGCAGGCCAGCCACAAAAACCTACTGAACGACCGGGCCCGGCCCCACGCGCCAGACTCACCGCTGCCGGGCGGCCGCTGCGAAGAACCGAGTGGGAGGGTTGTGGGGCCACAGCCAGCGCAGGCGCAGGGGCAGCATGAAGGCAGGCGGGCAGCTGGTGAAAGGTCACAAAGAACAGTGGGATGGGAGCAGACTTCAACCACTGCAGCGGGGATGAGGGGTGGGGGTGGGGGGCAGAGGGAAGGGGCCTGGCCCCGTTGAGATGCAAAGGAAAACTGAAGCAGGCCCGGGAGACTCAGGGGCGGGTGGAACCTCCCTGCTGAAGACCAGACCCCAGTGTCCTAGCCCTGTCCCCGCCTCTGACCCGGGCGTCTGCACAACCAGCCCCGGACGCCGAGACCCCCTTCCCACCCTGGGAGCTCGGGGGGCGGGTGCAGGAAGAGCCACACCAAGCCCCGCCCCGCTTCACTCACAGACCCCCTCGGCGGCCGCCGTTTCCTGCTCCTATTCAGGCCCCGCCTCCACACTCTTATTGGCTTAGACATCCAGACCACACCCACATGCCTGAGGGTGCGGAACAGCGGCGAAGCCCCGCCCCCGCACATCCATTGGCCTTTGACGCCTCGGATCTACCCATCGAGACAGCAGCCCGGGGACTTGCAGAAAGGCGCCAGCGCCCACCTGGGGAGGCTGCGGCAGGAGGCCTGACCCTCAGTGAGGCTTTCGGCTCAGCTCTCGTTGCTCTGTTCCCTCGGACATGGCTGTTACTCCGCTCTGCAGCGAGACGCGTTTCACAAAGCAGTTTCCACCCCATAATCGGCCTGGAACTTCACCGGAGCCTGGCAAGGGGGCACAGCCCTCAGCTTACAGAGGGGAAAACTGAGGCTGGGCCTTTTTTTCCCCCAAGTCACTTGTCCTGTCTCAGCCACCCCGGCCCCTCTCTCGGTCTCACGGAAACAGCAGACGCCAACGGAATCCAAGAATAAAGTCCTTTATTGTCTTCTGAGCTGTGGTGATAGGGCTGGGGACTCTAGGATGACTTAGGTGGAACTTTCCTGGAATTCGTTGTATAGGAAGATGGCGCCTTTGGCTGAGGGGCAGAGCTCGGCCCACATTTCAGTCTCCTGCAGCCTCCTCACACTCTGTGGGAAGACAGTGAGACCCAAACATTCCGACCTCGGGTTTCTTGCAGGAGCTGTGCCCAGTTCTGGCCCTCTCCCTTGGGCTGAGGGCATCCCCAATGAGGCCTTGTGCCTCTGGAGGGAAGCTCTGAGAGATTTGGGAGGCCCCTCTGACCCAGGCCCAGGAGACAGACATGCATCACCAGGCCTCTGCAAGCCCCAACCCAGCTCCTTGTCCAAATGAGACACACTTTGCCACCTCAAACCTGTGTCTCCACAAAGATGATTCCTGTGGATTCGTGGGCCTCAGGTCCCCCACTCGTGTAGTGCTTCCTCACCTGCTCAGAAGTCAGGCTGCACCTGGACAAGGACGTGAGAGTGGCCTGGTGAGTGCTTAGACCCTGTAAGGTCCCTGTGGAGTCCCAGCTGCCTCAGCCATGCCGCTCAACCACCCACCTACTCCAGGACCCAGGACCCTGTCTCCCAGAGCTCACTCACTGGACGTAGAACTCAGCACTGGCACGGCCGGCACTGGTCTCATTGCAGGCAATGCCCAACAGCAGCGGCTGGCTCAGGGTGAGCAGCGGCAGGTTCACCTGGGGCCAGGCGTACCACCTGTCAGTGCCCACTGCCCACATCCCTGCCCGTCTCAGTGAAGAACAGCATGTTACCCTTGTACAGCATTTTACAGTGTGTAGTTCAAGTGCCCAGAATCACAGAATGTCAGATCTTGGGCATGTTCATTTCACATGGGAAAACCACAACGGGAGAGATGGAACAGTTAGCCCAGGGTCACCCTAGGGAAGTCAATTTAGTTAACTGGGGGCTTCCCTGGTGACGCAGTGGTTAAGAGTCAGCCTGCCAATGCAGGGGACACGGGTTTGATCCCTGATCCGGGAAGATCCCACATGCTGTGGAGCAACTAAGCCCGTGCGCCACAACTATTGAGCCTGCACTCTAGAGCCCACGAGCCACAACTACTGAGCCCACATGCCACAACTACTGAAGCCCATGCGCCTAGAGCCTGTGCTCCGCAACAAGAGAAGCCATGGCAATGAGAAGCCCGCGCACTGCAACGTAGAGTAGCCCCCGCTTGCCTCAACTAGAGAAAGCCTGTGCACAGCAACGAAGACCCAGCGCAGCCAAAAATAAATAAATAAAATTTTAAAAAGTAATTGAGACTCCCATTTACTCCTCTTTTCAACAAACCTGGCGGGAGTAGGCAAGACATTTATTATTGTCCCCATTGTCAAGAGGAACACAGAGACGAGGCACACAGAGATGAGGGTTAGAATTCCACTCCAAGCGTGCCTAGCTGCAAAGCCAAGCTCTTTGCTCAATGCCAGATGCCTGGGAACTCCCTGGCAGTCCAGTGATTAGGACTCCACACTCTCACTGCCAAGGGCCTGGTTTCAGTCCCTGGTCAAGGAACTAAGATCCCACAAGTCAGGTGAGGCAGCCAAAAAAAAGCCAGATGCCTACAGACACTCCTGCCATCCCAGACCTGTGAAATTCTGGATTGTTCTATCCCCTCCCTCCTTGCCCACCACTCTGTCCCACCTGCCTCTCGCTCACCTCATCACAGATCTCCTGAAGGACACTGGAGAAGAGCTCATGCACCACCAGCTCCCCAGGGAGGTTGATGTGCAGGGGTCTGCCACCTGGGCACAGGGCCTGTAAGAGGTCAGGCTCAGCCCCTGCTCCCCTCTTCTCACCCTGCTTTTCCCCACACTCACTGGCCCTGAGGGCCTTGGTGATCCCCTGACCCAGGCCCTGACCCAGAGTGAGAGCCTTGGTGATCCCCTGACCCAGGCCCTGTTTTTCCAGATGGAAAACCACAGGTCCAGCTAGGTCCTCCATCCCTACCCCCACCCCCAATTGCCTAACTTCCCATGGGTCTGGGGCAGGATTCAGCAGGGAGGCTGAGAGGCTGCCCTGAGCAGAGACTTTCGGATAAGCACCAGGCCAACTCCCCCTTTAAGGGATGAGGAAAACAAAGCTGAGCTCTCTGGGTCTTTGTGCCTTTGTGCCCAGCCTGGCATCTCACCTGAGGCTCAGGGTGCCCACCGGGCACGTCCACTAGCCCAGGTGCCTCAGCCACCTGCCCAGAGCGGCGCAGGAAGACAAGGAAGTCGTCAGCAGTAGCCAGTGCAGCGCCCACCCCTAAGGGGTCCGCCAGGTAGGCTTGCTTGTCACCCCAGTCGGTGGCCCCCTGCTGTCGCAGCCAGGCAGCTGAGCTGGCCCAGTTGGTGCCCAGGAAGTCTCGATAGGAAGTAAGGCCCAGGCACAGGTGCAGCTGTGGCGCCGGCGAGCCAGTGGGCACCAGGGTGGCAGAGTGCAGGCGGAACTTGGGGGCGTCAAAGAGCCAGGGCTGGGCTTGAAGCCGGCTCTCCCAGACTGCGGTGATGGCCTTGTCCCCTCCTGGCAGTGGGCGACGGTCGTAGGCAGGGCTCAGCTCAGCCCGTACCTGCTCCTCAGGCAGCCCCCCCGGGGGGCATTGCAGCAGCAGGGACACCTCAGGGTCCATGACCTGGATAGGGCAGTTCTGGGGGAGGGCACAGCCAGGCCTGTCACCCCGGGGGACCCACAGCCACCCTTGGACCCGACAGCTGGCCCCCTCTGCCACAAACCTCCTGAGGGTACTCCCAGCCCTTCTGCACCCCCCAGACCCCTCCCTGGGCTGTAAAACGTCTTATCATCCCAGCAAGAACTCCGAGGCTCCTGCTACCAGACATCCCTGAGACTCCCGGGCAACCCTACGACTCAGAGGTTCTGGGTCCTGTCACCCACTAATGCCTCTGTCTCCCCAAACCAAAAGTCTTGCCTCCAACCCCTGACGCGCCGGTAACCTTCCCAGGGTCCGGAAGCTCCAGGCTGCAGCCGGCAACCACCTGCCTACTCTCCTCGCAGGCTCCGCCTCTTTCCCCCGGAGCGGAAGTACCCGCCCCCTTCTTCCTCGGCTTCTCATTGGCCGGTCCTGGCGCTCAGGGCCCGTCGGGGTGAGCTGACGGGCCCGTCCGGGTCAGCTGCCCGGCCTCCGGACTCGGTGAGCCTTCCCGTCTGTCCCGGCTCTGTCTCTGGCCGGCCCAGACATTTCTGCCCCGTTAGCCTGGTTGCCGGCCCCGCCTCCCCAGGCCCGCTTTGCGGGGCAGACCAGGAGCCTGGGTCGCAGGGGCTCGACTTCCCTGGGCCCTGTGGCTGACAGAGTGTCACCCTGGGCAAGTCTTGCTGGGCCTCAGTTTCCCTATCTGCCACCAGGGAGTTAGGGGTGGGAAGTGAATTTAGACATCTGAATATCCCCCTCCCAGCTCTCACATCCTGAGACTTTGTGACTTTCTGGGCATCGTGGGGACATGGGAAGGTCCTTAACAGTCTCCACATTTCACAGCTCCCCACAGGTCTTGGCCATGAACGCCTCTAGAGGAAGGAGGCAGGAAGCAGCAGGGCCCAAGGGTAGAAGGGCTCACAGACCCCAGGAACAGGTGCGCCCCCTCCACCCTCACCCCTGCTCCCAATGTGGGAGGGCAGGGGAGGGGGACTCTGAGTCCTGCTCCCTGGGCAATGCTGGTGGGGTGGGAGTGGGGGCAGATGGACTGTGCTGTTCCCAGGAAGCACAGGGACTCCTCTCCCTCTGGTCTCCTACAGCAGATCACTGAGTTCAGGGTGAGCAGCAGGGCAGGGTCACCACGGGGACTAACGGCCGCCTCTGGGCTCTTTCAGGACCGGGATGTACAACTGTCCAAAGCTCTGTCCTATGCCCTGCGCCACGGGGCCCTGAAGCTGGGGCTTCCCATGGGGCCCGGTAAGTGAGCATCTTAGAGGCTGGGCCCAGGAGTGGTTGGAGCCCAGGGAGCAGTGTGAGCCTGTCTGTGACTGCCTTCCCTCATGGCTCCCACCGCAGTCCTATGAGTACAGCACAGAAGGTACATCCCTTCCGTGTATAGGGAAGACCGAGGCCCAGAGCCCAGTATCATGTCCAGGGCAGACTGGGAGAGGAGCCTCCATCTGTGCCAGGCCTGGTGATACCTCCAGCCCAGTGGCCCAATAAACACTTATCCCCAAACTGGGCACTGTGGGGGTTTTGGGGCAACCGATGTTTATTGAGTGTCCACTCTGGGCTGGGTACTGTGCTCAAAAGGGTCACTTGATCCTTGTGACCCTCCATGAGGCAGATCCTATTCCCATATAAGTTGAGAAACTGAGGCTCAGAAAGGGGAGACTTTCTTTTTTTTTTTTTTTTTAATTACTTAATTTTTAAATTTTTGGCTGCCTTGGGTCTTCGTTGATGTGTGCGGGCTTCCCTAGTTGCGGCGAGTGGGGGCTATTCTTTGTTGCAGTGTGCGGGCTTCTCATTGCGGTGGCTTCTCTTGTTGCGGAGCACGGGCTCTAGGCGTGCAGGCTTCAGTAGTTGTGGCTCGTGGGCTCTAGAGCGCAGGCTTAGTAGTTGTGGCACACGGGCTTAGTTGCTCCGCGGCATGTGGGATCTTCCCGGATCAGGGCTCGAACCCGGGTCCCCTGCATTGGCAGGTGGATTCTTAACCACTGTGCCACCAGGGAAGTCCCAGGGGAGACTTTCTAAAGGTCACACAGGCTCTGTTCTTGTTGCCTGTGGCTTCCCCTGTTAACTGTGGCCCAGGCCAGAGCAAGTTCAGCTCCTGACCACTCTACCTGCCCACAGATGGTTTTGTGCCCCTGGACACCCTCCTGCAGCTGCCCCAGTTCTGCAGCTTCTCAGTTGAAGATGTGCAGCGCGTGGTGGACACCAATGGGAAGCAGCGGTTCGCCCTGCAGCCAGGGGACCCCGGCGCCGGCCCTCTCATCCGGGCCAATCAGGGTCACTCCCTGAAGGTGGGAGCTAAGGGGACGAGTGAGAGAGCCATGTGAGACCCCTGTCTGTGAGGGGGTCTCACTGCTGCCCATTCCCCGTCCATCCCAGGTACCTGAGTTGGAGCTGATTCCCCTGGAGACCCCACAGGCCCTGCCCCTGGTGCTCGTCCATGGCACATTCTGGCAGCACTGGCCATCCATCCTGCTCAAGGGCCTATCCTGCCGGGGGAGGACGCACATCCATCTGGCCGCGGGACTGCTTGGGGACCCTGGTGTCATTAGTGGTCAGTGCCCCCCCAAGCTACTCCCACCCATTCTGTCCTCCCAGGTCCTCCTCCAAGGGTCATAGCCTCTTGTCCAGGGGCAGCCCAAGCCCTGCATGCAGGAGCAACCCCCAACCCACACCGCAATGAGCTCAGGACCCCAGCCCACCCAGGTTTGATAACCACAATCCAGACACCCCAGACCCCAGCTCCAACTGTCTACTCAGGCATGCGGCCAAATTGCGAAGTGGCTGTGTTCATCAACGGGCCCCTGGCCCTGGCAGGTGAGTCTGGACACAGCAGGTATTGCCCCAGGCCTTCAGAGAGGGCATGAGTCACATCTCTGGCTCTGTCTGCAGATGGAATCCCCTTCTTCCGCTCTGCTAATGGGGTGATCCTGACTCCAGGGAACGCTGATGGCGTCCTGCCTCCCAAGTATTTCAAGGAGGCCCTGCAGCTACGCCCTACCCGTAAGAACCACCACCCCACCACTATTCTTTGTGCCTGAAGCCTGTGCCCTCTGCCCTCACCTCTTTCCCAGCTCCCAGCCCCAGACTGACTTAGTTCTCCCTTCTCTAACCAACTCTTTCTCTCTCAGGAAAGCCCGTCTCCTTGGCTGGTAACGAAGAAGCAGAGTCAGAGTGGCCCCAGGCGCAGCTCCAGAGACAAAAGGATGACCCAGCAAATCAAATACTTACTTTTTTAAATGTAAAAAGATAACAAAAGAGAAACTCCAGTTTGAACCTATGAGTCATCATCCTGTAGCTGTAGCCAGTCTTCCTCATGTGCTCAGGGACTATAGCTAGGTCAGGGGTGTTGGTCTTGGTCACTCAAACAGGGAAGGGCGGGTGCTGTACAAACTAGAGCCCACTCTCCCTAGCCTGGGGGATGGCAGAGTCTGGCCCAGCCAGGTCCCTGGTCTACACAAGGCCAGTGACAGTGGGTGAATGTGCCCAGCTCGGTCAGTGCACGTCTGGAGAGGATGTGGGCGGTGAATCCCAATGGGTGTGGGCTTTGGAGCGGTCATGGAAGGTGGTGAGTGGGGCGGGGGCAGTAAGACAGGCTTCAGAAGGCCTCGTGGCCTCCTGTGAGCTGCAGGAAGAGGTCCTCGTCCAGCTCCTCCCCGCGGGCCCGCTCCCGCGTTGACAGGAAGATGTAGCCCCCAATGTACTCATGCACGATGCGGCAGCTGGCAGATACGCAGCTGAAAGCCACGTTGATGTGCTCATCAAACTCAATGGCTACCTGTGGGGTGGGCAGTCAGAGGGCTGGTAGGGGGTGGGTTGAGGGAGCAGCCCTGCCCTGGCTGGGTCTGGCCCAGCCCCGTGTCCCTCCCCGACCCTCACTCCGGGCCCACCTGCCGGATGTCCCAGTTGACATTCCACTGGCGCATGTTGCTGAAGCGCCAGGTCTTGACCACATCGCCCACGGCCAAGTCAATGCGGATCAGTCGGTTGTTGGCAATGCCCAGAATCTCGTCTTTTCTGCTGCCCTTGAACCTGGTGCCCAAGGGGAGAGTGTGAGCCGGGGCCCCACCCTTCATGGCCCCGGAGCCCTCCCAGACAGCCAGGTGCGGAGCTCAGCAGCAAGCTGACAAGTAAATCACTTAGGTTCTCTGGGTCTCAAGTTCCTCATCTGGAAAATGGGGGTTAATTAATATAATCACAATGATAGCATTTAGCAGCATCAGGCAAATAGTCCGTGCTTTTCGACAGCAACTTTTTTTTGTAGCATCATCATCCATTTGCTCCTATCTTTGCAGGCTTGGAAAATGGGCAGTCACAGGGGGCACTTCCTGTCACAGCAGCCACCCAACCCTGTCCTACAGATCAGCTGCCCAAGGCCCAGAGAGGAAATGGCCTATGGCAGAGCTGGGAAGGGTGCGGGATCTCCTGCTCTCCCCTCCTGATCCCTCTCTTGTGTTTGCAGGATGGAAGGGGGTGCACACAGGCTGCCCTCGGTAAGGTCTCCCCGCAGGGGACAGGAATGAAGGCTTCAGATGGCTTCACCATCTTCAGAGATGGTGCTTAGCAGAATGGACTGGGGTGGTACTCATACCTGACCACAACGTAGGAGATGCCGAAGTCAGGCAGGGACTGCCAGGCCTGAATGAAGCGCAGCTGGGCCTCAGACAGCGAGAGTTGGGCCACATTCTGGTGGGCTTCCAGGATCCGTGGAGTGAGCTGTGGGACAACACTGGTGAGGGGCTGCCAAGGTCCCTGAGACCCCCTGCCTGTCCCCATCAGGAAGACAGGATGCTGAGCCTGGGGCAGGGCCAGTGCCCAGTGTGGGTCCACCCAAGTGCACCCTCTCACCATTCAGCAAATATGAGCTGAGCCGGGCCCTGAGGTGGACATGGGCAGCTGGACCATGACCACCCCCCGCAGAGGGTGGGGACCAGCACGCTCAGTCTCAGGGACCCAGGTGGGAGAAGGAGCGAGTGAGCGTGTG